GTGTGGCGTGTGGGTGTAGGGTTGGCGTGATGTATCCGTGTAGCAGCAGCTTTTAAATGCTGAAATGAAGAAGCTGCAGCAGAAACTCAGACTCCCGCTCTGCTACAGCTCAACAGGAAAAAAGGTGAAAAAGGCCAGAGGCGGGAAATTCAAAGTGTTTTGAGCCAAACAGAAACGTCGGGTTTCAGTGTTGAGTGCAAACGTGTATTTTGCATAGCTTCCCCTCCATCTGTGTTTGAAGCTCTGGGATTAGACACAGCAGCTAGCTGGTTAGCATGCTAACCTCAGAGGAGGTACAGAAGGGATAGAAGCAGAGAACAGACAGAACGTCTGATACTGAATTTCTACTAACAGCTAATGCTAACACAAGAAAATCAATGTTGGTGCGACACCTTCTCTGAATGAATTTCTTGTGAACACAATAAAACTCAATTTAATAACTAAACTTCTAACAGCATTAAGTTGATGCTTCTCTGTGTTCCAACGAGACGACTGCAGGTCAGATCAGAGCGAACATCCTCTGAAGAGACGTGGACGTAGCAGAACATGTTCAGTGTCACTTACAGGAGCTGGAATCTGATTCTGACGCAGACTGACAACAAAATATGACTTTTCTTTTCACAAACGTCCGTCTGCTCAGTTCAGGATCTTCAGGACTGAACAAGACAACACAGACGCTCGTCTTCTCTCTCCTCAGTCAGCGTAGTGCATGATGGACTCCACGTAGTTTCCGGGGAAGAGGCCGGTGGTCGCATTCATCACCCCTTCGAACCACCCGTCCTCATTCTTCTTGACCACGTAGATGATCCCTCCTTCCTGGAACGATAGCTCGTCCTCCTTGTCAGCTGTGTAGTCATAGATGGCCACCACTAGAGGGCGATAAACACACCAAAAAGTTTCTTTTCTTTTTTGCATTTTCTGACATTTTACCGATGAACCGACGAATCAAGTAATTGAAAACATAATCAGGAGATTGAGCCATAATGAAAAGGTTCTGGATCTTAAAGCAGCTTCATGTGCTCTCACTGCTCCTCAGGCCCGGGCCTCTCTGACACAATCATGGATGCAGTGTTTAAATGTCATGTGTCCCGGAGCGACCAATGGAAAGGATCAGTGGCACTGCACAGATGTTTGGTCCCATGTGTGACTGTGATGGTGAAGAAAGTTCGAGACACGGGTTTTTGTGTTTCTGTAGTGTTACCTTTCTCCAGGTAGGTTCTGGGGGCCCACGGAGGGTCTTCTTCAGTGTACGGGTCGCTGTACTCCACCACTGCTGAGTCCTCTTCATGTCCGTCTTCCACTGGCTGAGGAGTCGGCAGGGGCTCCTCAGCAGCAGCCTGAGGAGGGGGAGGGGCGTCTGAAACTGGAGGTAATCAGATACGTTCAGGAAAAAAAGCACCAGTCAACATCAACCAATCACAGATCTGGATCCTAGTGAATCAAGACGGACGACATGACGGCTCCAATAGGCTAAGACAAATCATCTAGACCTGTGGCTGCCTACGGTATAGGGCATAAACCTCCTCCACGTTAGCAGATGGGACATGGTCCAAACTAAAACATCAGAGTAGACGTTAAATAAATGTTTGTCAAAGATGTTTCTGTCGTTTCAGCTCGTTCTTCTCTCTCTGATGTTTGTTCAAGTGTTTGTGATCAGTTTGGTTTGAATTAGTTTGATGATACAAGAACAGGCGGAGACGTCATGATTGACACTGACTCAGGATTGGTTGAGAGCACATATGGGCAGGACCTTTTAATTACGGCTCCATTCCACTGTCACTACTGCACAGACCCTGACTGTAAATGACACATTATCACCACAAGATGGCAGCGTTTGTATCTAAGATATTTTAGTTAATTTGTGGAGGAAATGTGACGAGTCGTCATCTTTATTTAACTGCTCCACCTACAGGCAAGAAAAGTCACAGCAGCAGCAGTTTTCTCCCACAGCTGTTTTTCATCCACATTTCACACAGTTGACATTCATATATAAAATATAACAGAAACTCAGTGTACTCACTGGACTCCTGAACTCGAGCAACAAACCCCATGAGAGGCAGCTGAGGGGTGAACTGGAGGAGTGATGGAGGCGGGGGGGAGGCTGCAGACACACACAGACCTGAGTTGATCAACACAACCAACAAAACACATTTTAAAACTGTGTCCACACAGCTCTGCAGTTCTCCAGAGTCAGAGACGTGTGAACTGATCTGGTTTCAGTTTGAAAACTCTGGTTTTGTGTTTTAGTCTGAACACAAACTGAGACTTTAGTAAACGGTGACGCCCACGTTCTCTTCTGATTGGTTCACATCAGTCACATGACTCGACTACCAGCGGTGAACACAAAGAAATCCCTGCTCTGACCTCTGACCATCGAGAGGGTGAATATATAAAAAATAATCAAACCTTCTCCTCCTGTGTGAAGCAGATCTGCAGCGTAGCCTCAATCTCAGTGAACTCTGATCTTCCACATTCATCCGTGTGAGCGCCCATAGTGTGG